GATGTAATACCTGCTGTAAGAAATTGAAAAAGTAGTATATATGCTTATAATAAAAATGCTATTAATTTAATTCCTATTAAAAGTAAATATGTAATGAAATTAATTAAAGCATACTTTAATTTATATAATTTACAACTAGAATCTTTATTAAGAAAAAATAGATTACGTCGTAGATTTAGAAAAATATCTACAAATAGGATATTTATTAGTGATGGTGAATTTAAACATACTAATGATAAAGTAAATATAACATTATATGTTTATAATAAACAAAAACTTAATTACTTATTAAAACTTAAAAAAAGATATTTAACATTATTTAAAAAAGCTAAATTTGCTAGAAAATTAAAATTAATAAAAAATGTAGGATTAAATATTTTAGGTAAACATAAACAAAAAAGTATATTATTAAGTAATCTTTTACCTAAATATAATACTCAAGTAAATACAGCACAAAATATTTACTATTTAAGATTTATAAAAAAAAGTTTTAAAAGATTAAAATTCTATATGTATTATAAACAAATGCTTTATATTAATAAAGCTAAATTTGAAAATACTTATTTACAAGGTTTAATAAGTTTAGTAAGAAATATTTTTAATAAAAATGTTGAATTTAATATAATTAATTTAAAATATTTTTATTTTAATAGTAAAATATTTACTCAACCTTTAGAATTAAAATTAAAAAAAAAAAGAAATGTTTTAAGATATCTTAAAGTTTTAATAAGAAAAGCAAAAATTAAAAATGTTAAATTAGCAGAAAAATCTAAAAAATTTTTTAATTTTAATATTTTTAATAGTGATAATTTTTTACAACAAGATAATACTAAATCTAAATATCTTAAAAAAATTATTTTAAGTAATTTAAAATATAAAAGAGTATCAGGTGTTAGATTAGAAGCTGCTGGTAGATTAACTAGACGTTTTTCAGCTTCTAGATCTCAACGTAGAACTAAATATAAAGGAAATTTAGAAAATGTTTATTCTTCATTTAAAGGTTATCCTACACCAATGTTAAGAGGAAATGATAAAGCTAATTTACAATATACTGTAATTAACTCAACTTCACGTGTTGGAGCTTTTGGTGTTAAAGGTTGAGTAAGTAGTACTTAATTTCTTTTTTATTTACAATTTTCCCTCCCTTATATTAATTAATAAAGATGATGAAATAGTCTGAACCGTTTTGAGAAAAATGGAAATAAAAGTATATTCGGCGCGTAAAGCGCGCTTATTCAGCTTATAGCTGAATCTTTTATGATAACATAAATTGAACAGGCTAATTTGCGCAAGAGAGTACAAATTGAGTGCGCGGTTTGGCACCTCGATGTCGGCTTAGCTCATCCTCATGCATGCAGAAATCATGAAGGGTTCGACTGTTCGTCGATTAAAGAGCTACATGAGCTGGGTTTAATACGTCGTGAGACAGTATGGTTTCTATCTTCTAGAGGAACATAAAGTAGATTAAAGATAGCCCCTTCGTACGAAAGGAGTTGGGTATATTGATCTCTGGTTTACCTGTTGTTTATGGTTTATATTATAACATATGTTATAATGATAATTAATACTTATACTAAGGTATTGTTACACTATTAGTAGTGTAGCCTGACAACATAGGCATGGCAGGAAAGCTACATCAGTTAAAGATAAGTGTTGAAAGCATCTAAACGCGAAGCAAACTTTATGATACTTTTATACGTAGTAGAACACTACGAGCATAATTGTTTAACTACAATTAATAGGCTTTGGTTGTAAGAATGAAAACATTTTTAGATATAAAGTACTAATTTTTTAAAATAGTATACTAAATATTATTAAATATCATTATAATATTTTTTTTATATATTACAATAAAGCCTTTTTAGCATAAAAGTAATGCAACCGTTTTGTAATCGGTAGAAGTGAGTTCGATACTCGCATAAGGCTAAATATATTAGAGATCTAATTTAAAGACCCAATGGTCAAGACTGGTTAAGACATAACATTTTCACTGTTAGTGCGGGAGTTCAAATCTCCCTTGGGTTAAAAAAGAAAAAAGAGATTAGCTCAGTTGGTAGAGCTGTCGCTTTACACGCGAAAGGTCAGGTGTTCAAATCACCTATCTCTTAAAGCGAATTAATGTAATAGTAACATATATGGCTCATGTCCATAATATTTAGGTGCAACCCCTAAGTTCGCTACCAAAGACTATAGCTTAATTGGTTAAAGCGAACCACTCATGATGGTTTGAGTAAATGTTCAAGTCATTTTAGTCTTATTTAATCCGAGTGCTGGAACTGGTAGACAGTCTTAACTTAAGCTTAAGTGGCGCAAGCCGTAAACGTTCGAATCGTTTCTTGGATATATTAGGGGTTATAGTTTAACTGGTAAAACGACGATTTTGCATATCGTTATTTCAGGATCGAGTCCTGATAACTCCATAACTATTAATATTGTTAATTATTAACGCTTGAGAAGCTCAATTGGTAGAGCGGATCATTGAAGCTGATTAGGTTGTAAGTTCAAATCTTATCTCGAGCAAACTTGGCTAACATGGCTACTTATATTAATAGACATGGGTATGCTGAAATTGGTAAACAGGTTCCGCTTAGGACGGGATAGTTTTATACTTTGCAAGTTCAAGTCTTGTTACCCATATATCTATATATAAATATACACATAGTTTATGTTGTCGACTAATAGGTAAGTCATAAATTTTTGGTATTTACTATTGGGTGTTCGAGTCGCCCCAACATAAGACAAATTATTATATATTATCTATTTTATTTTAGCCAGGATAGTTTAATAGGTAGAACAATAATTTCATGAATTAAGAATGAGAATTCGAATTTCTCTCCCGGCTTTTCCTTAATAAAAGCTATATAAAATATTAAATAGTATATCTTAATATAAGTAAAATTCTGGTAATATAGTTCTTTTACTATATTATATCTAATTAGATACATACGTCAACTTTTAAAATATGCTATTTAATTTAATTACATTATGTAATCTATTTAAATATTAAATTAAATTAATTTTACAAAAAAAAAATAATTATAATTTAATAATAAAAAAAATAATATATTATTTATTATTTTTCAAAGTTTATTTTAAACTTTGATGTATAT